ATTATTCTGTTTGTTTGTATGACTTGGAAAGGTGATTCTTATCATTTTTCGACGAATTTACCTTTCATTAGCAACACTGACATCGTCCACCCATCATCTTTATAATACATCCTTTACTTCATCTTCATTCCATAATGATCACATTAAAGCATTTTCATGTTTTCAATGAGTGGTAAACAAAAAAATACCAGAACGACAACGAAAGAAAGAGAGAGAGAGAGAGAGAGAGAGAGAGAGAGAGAGAGAGAGAGAGAGAGAGAGAGAGAGAGAGAGAGAGAGAGGAGAGAGAGAGAGAGAGAGAGAGAGAGAAGAGAGCGAGGGAGAGAGAGAGAGAGAGAGAGAGAGAGAGAGAGAGAGAGAGAGAGAGAGAGAGAGAGAGAGAGAGAGAGAGAGAGAGAGAGAGAGAGAGAGAGAGAGAGAGAGAGAGAGAGAGAGAGAGAGAGAGAGAGAGAGAGAGAGAGAGAGAGAAAGGAATCCACAAAGTAAACCTATAAGCCGTCTAATTTCTGGAAATAACGAACTGGCAACTAGGTGGTTAGTCTGGATCACCGGTCTTAGTTATCTATTTTACCCATTTCTCTATTCTATTCTATTTACTTATTTCTTTCTAATCGCGAACACTAATTGTTTTGTACTTATATATATTTGGAATTTTAAAACACAATATTCATATCGTTAAACATCATCTATTGAATGCAGATTTAGGGGTGAGTTGCCNTCGGTCGAGGACGGCCTCCATCCTCGGGCTTGAGGACGGCCTCCTCTTTGCGAAGCCTCGCATCTCGGGCTCGAGGAACGGCCTCCCACCTGGGGCTCGAGGACGGCCTCCATCTCGGGCTCGAGGACGGCCTCCTCTTCCGAAGCCTGCATATCGGGCTCGAGGACGGGCCTCGGGCGCGAAGACGGCCTCATCTCGCCTCCACTCAGGCTCGAGAGACGGCCTCCAATCTGGGGCTCGAGGACGGCCTCCATCTCGGGCTCGAAGACGGCCTCCACGGACGGCTCCATCTCGGGCTCGAAGACGGCCCCATCTCGGGCTATACGGCCTCCACCTGGGGCTCGAAGACGGCCTCCATCTCGGGCTCGAGAACGGCCTCCTCTTCGAAGCCGCTGCTGAGGACGGGCATCGTGACGGCTCGAGGACGGCCTCCATCTCGGGCTCGGCCTCCCATCTCAGGCTCGAAGACGGCCTCCACCTGGGCTCGAGACGGCCTCCATCTCGGCTCGTCGGCCTCCATCTCGGGGCTGACGGCCTCGCCTGGGGCTCGAGGACGGCCTCCATCTCGGGCTCGAGAACGGCCTCCTCTTGCCGAAGTGCCTGCTTCCTCCCTCGAGGAACGGCCTCATCTCGGGCTCGAAGACGGCCTCCATCTCGGGCTCGAGGACGGCCTTCCATCTCGGGACTATCTCAGGCTCGAAGACGGCCTCCACCTGGGGCTCGAGGACGGCCTCCATCTCGGGCTCGAAGACGGCCTCCACATGGGGCTCAAGGACGGCCTCCTCCTCCGAAGCCTGCATATCGGGCTCGGCCTCCAGAGGACGGCCTCCATCTCGGGCTCGAGGACGCGCCTCCATCTCGGGCTCGAGGACGGCCTCAACCTGGGGCTCGAAGACGGCCTCCATCTCGGGCTCGAGGACGGCCTCCACTTGCGGCTCGAAGAGGGCCACCATCTCTTGTTCGAGGACGGCCTCCACCTGAGGCTCGAGGAGGGCCTCCTCCTCCGAAGCCTGCATATCGGGCTCGAAGACGGCCTCTATCTCGGGCTCAAGGACGGCCTCCACGAAGACGGCCTCCATCTTGGGCTCAAGGACGGCCTCTATCTCGGGCTCAAGGACGGCCTCCATCTCAGGCTCGAGAACGGCCTCCTCTTCCGAAGCCTGAATATCGGGCT